TTTGAGTGATTTATCCAGCCTGGACCCCCACGGGGATTTTAGCAGCAGCCCTTCGTCCCTGTGCACTGAGCCTCTCATCCCCACCACCCCCATCATCCCCAGCGAGGAGATGGCCAAAATCTCCTGCAGCCTGGAGACCAAAGAGCTCTGGGACAAGTTTCACGAACTGGGTACCGAGATGATCATCACTAAATCCGGGAGGTAAGGCTGGGAAGCCCCGAGTTTTCCCTCTGGGCAGCTTTCGAAAAGTGACTTTGGACGGGGGGGAAAGAAGGCAAAACAAAGGAAACTCTGCAGTTTTTGTATTGGTAGAGCAGCACGGCTGTGCTAAGGGGACGAAGAGGAGGGTGAAGCCCCTTATTTGCAGCAGCGGCGGTGCGCGGAGCCCCAGCCCTGCCGGGGCAGAGCGAGAGGCGGCCCGGGGAGGCAGCGGGGTGCGGTGCGGAGGGACCGGCTAAAATCCATCCCGAGGATCCCGGCGTCCGGGAAGAAATATTGTTTCCATAATTATTCGGTCCGTGACTAAAGTCCCGGAGTGATTTTTGCGGGGCTGGGTTGGTACAGACTCCGGGAAATGCGGAGTCGTGGGGAAATAATACACTAAGAGCTTGGCTTGGTTTGTTCCTCTTTTCTCTTGGTTGCAAAAACGAGCAAAAGAATCCGAGGCTTTCTCGTCACTTCAAACCACGCCATTTTTTCAGTAAAGCTTTTAGGGTTTGGGTCAGTCAAACGCAGTCCAGAAGAGTCAAATGTCTTATCGGGTTTTGTAATCCTCAAAGTTACTTGCTACTAATGTAGTTCCCTAACGATATTTTGTTCCTAACTGGTAAGATCTATCGGCATGTGCTTGTTTTTGTTGTTTTTAAAATAAATTTTAAAAGTAGTATAAAACTTGCAATTTGAAGTTCAAAACTTTAAACAGTTCGAAGTTATTTAACTTTATTTCTGGTCTACAGCATAACCTCACATTTTAAAGTTGCGTTTTGTCTAAAGTTAAGTGCAGAAAAGAAAGTTTAGTTTTGAAAGTTCCTCTCAAAAGTATTGTGAGCAGGCTTAGAGAACACTCATCCAAAATATGTGAGAATATTAACCAAAATAATTTCTTGGATAGTTCCCTAACACTAGTAAGGATCCTGTAAAAAAAAAAAAAAAAAAGAATTCCAAGCTTTTAAAAATTTATGCACCCTAGGTATAACTATTTTCTGAAATCGTTGTATAGTTTTAACTAATAGGCATATAGTACATTTCTCCTACACTTTTTCACTTTTACCATTTTTTTTCTTTTTGCTTCCAAAATATCGTTCTGATTTCAAGCTGCTTTTTCTGTGCCTGCTAGACTTAACTTCTATAAGGCTGAAACAGAATCAATAGATACTTTCATTTTTTTCAGGTGGCTTAAGTACAACTCTTACTTTCAGCAGCTTTTCAGAAGTTCTTTTATTTCCGTTCTATGTCCTCATATTTATTTTCCGATTTGTCTTTATTTCAGGAGAATGTTTCCTACGATCAGAGTTTCCTTCTCGGGAGTTGATCCTGAAGCCAAGTATATTGTGTTAATGGATATAGTTCCTGTGGACAATAAAAGATATAGATATGCCTACCACAGGTCTTCCTGGCTAGTGGCTGGAAAAGCTGACCCTCCTCTCCCTGCAAGGTTTGTAGATTTTACTGCTGGTCTTTCTTTTCTTTTTCTTTCCTTTTTGGTTTGTTGGGTTTTTTTTTTCCTTCCTTCAAGAAACACCTCCTATTAATCTTTCCATGCTGTTTGCAAACAGTGCTCTGAGCCTTTGAGTCCGTGCTCAACAAAAGTTGCTCTGCTTAATTTCTGTGATGCAGAATCGGGCCTCAAGTCTCTGCCTGAGATTTGATTTATACTGAATATTCCAAGGCATGCAGAATTTGGTTAAGGGGTCTTTTATACATATGTTGTTTAGGGTTCTTTTAATTTTTTTTTAAATGGAGTTTATCTGAATTCAGACAAGAAAGGTTAAAAAAAAATAAAATTCATTTGTCTCTTGGGTTTGCCCCCCAGTGTTTGACCTCATAATTTAAAGCAATCCAGGCACTACACACTAAGTCAGAGTAGAAATACAACATTATAGTTCAGCACAATTTATGCTTGAAATGATATTATTTCTTTAACATATCCATCATTTGATAGCCAATAATTTTATTCTTGCTTTTAGCCATTTCTTAGACAGCATGCAAAGTACAGATCAGTTTTACTGCACAGATTTTATTTTTTTCTTAAAAAATCATGACATATTCTGAGACATCAGGAAAAAAATCAAATAAATGCTCCCCCATGTAGAAACAAATGCTGTCAAAAATTTATTTCTAAATTCATTCCATTAATGTAATTAATAACTGAATCTTTCAGCATTGGCCAATTGAGGCTGCAGCACTAGGCTGTATGGTGCGAGGGTGCTTTAGCGGAGACCCACACTTCATCGTATTCATCCCAGCACTTCAGTACGTACTTAAGTCCCCAAGTCCAGTAAGGCTGAAGCACATGTCGAACGGCTTTGCTGAGTCAGAGCTGGAGATATGGAAATAATGTGGATGCCTCTCTGGCTTCAAAGAAACTTTTCATGGAGGGCTTTGTGCAGGAACACAGATCCGCTCCAGGTGGTTTAGCCTGGGGTTAAGAACTCACTTATTACAGAGGCAGAAATTAGAAGTGAATCACAAGAAATGGAAGCAAATTTTTTTGGTGTGTGAGTATAGGCACCAAATCCTGCATGATTTCCTTATATAAATAGTTTAACTGAAATCTTGGTGACTGGTGATCTCTGGAAGGCTGCTCAGGGAAGTAAACAAACAAAAAGCGCAAGCAGAGAAGCTGTGATTAAAGACAGCAACCTAGGAGTTATGTTGGCTTTGTTTTCATGGCCAAAAACTCCTTCTTGCAATGTGGTTAACGTCTGAGGGCTTCATTTGACGTATTGTAATGGGCACTGATCAAAACCCAAAGGAAAAACATGGATCCTGCTCCAAAGGAGTCAGCATCAAAAGAAGAAATAAGGGAAGGACAGAAATAGTTTTAAGGCAGGGTTCTCCCCTTCTTATTTTTCTATTCACACCCCTTTTGGGATACCTTTAAATAGATTGTTAATTCACATTCTCTCTGACATAGACTGGTTCAAAGAGGAAATACAAGAACATAAACCAGGAGATTGATCCTTGGAATAAATAGCAACTGCCCTACTGAATGTTTTAGAGTTAGGGTCAAATCCTCTTGAAGTTAAATAGTTATTACCATCAAACTGTGGTAGCTCTTTAGGTTTCCAAATGGATCAGTGTCCCTATGTGCAATTGTGTATTTATGCTGTTTCATTTTCAGGAAGCTTTGTCCCTATGTGTAACACCTTTCCTGTTTCACTTCCAGGATGCTTAGCCAAAAAGATTGTTGATCATAGACATAGATTGCTTTTTCTTTGTATGAACAGTACTTACATACACATTTACGCACTTTGTCCTTCTTATGTTTCTGTTTGGTGAGAAAAAGGATGTCAAGAGGTTCAGCATGCCAATGTTTGCATTACTAGTGCTTCTTCTAGAGTGTTAATGCATCTTTTGAGGTGGGAGGCCTCAGTCTTGCTTGAACAGATTAAAAATAGTACTCCTCCCATCTTGAAACGAGCTTGGTCCTGCTCCAGTAACAGAAGCCCTTAATGAAGTTATGATTTCTTGTCCTCCAAACATACAGTTTTAGCTCTCCATACTTGAGTGTCAGCAAGGGGTGTATGTGGACTTAGCATCTGGGCACTGGTAACGAGATGCTTACTCCCCATGTACATCACTGCCTGCATCTGCACACTCACAACGGCATCAGGGAAATTAGTCAAGAGTTGCATTGTGCATGGGTGTAAGACTTTGCAGGATTAAACCCGTTAGATGGTTTCCTTTTTTCATTATAAAAATAACTTTCAATTCTAAGGCAGATTTTGTTTTGATTTTTTTAATTATTTTTCAAAATTAATAAGTATTCTGTGATTCTGTTTGAAAGATTAGCCCTTCAGGGAACTTTCTATTAAAACCAGTTTTATCTTTGTCTTCCTGCTGTCAGTGTTGAAGACAGGTTTATGTTGCAACGAACACTTAAATAAAAATACTTTTCAGAGAGTCTTTTGTAAATCTTCTTAAGTGCCATCTGGGGATAGAGTTCCTATGTGATATTTTATGCTTGTTTTTCCATATGTCTAAGACCGTGTGAAACATCAGTTTAATAAGTTTCAGCATGTACCTTTGTTTGATCTTCTTCCTTTTTCACCTCCTTTCTTTCTCTCAAAAGTTTGTAGCATTTTTTGGTTTGGTTTTTTTTTTTCTGTTTAAAAATGTATTTGTCTATAGTAATTTGTTTAAAGAAGTTAGTGTTTACATGTCTAGAGAACT